TTTTTTTTTTTCTTCAATAAAAAAATTATATTTAAAAAAAAAAGTCTAACCTTTCCTTTTCTCCTTTCTTTTTGTTTTTATTTTTATTTCTTTTTGGTTTTTCAAGACAGGGTTTCTCTGTAGCTTTGGAGCCTGTCCTGGCACTAGCTATTGTAGGCCAGGCTGGCCTTGAACTCACAGAGATCCACCTGCCTCCACCACAGAGTGCTGGAATTAAAGATGTGCACCACCACCACCTGGCTTTGTTTTGGTTTTTCAAGACAGGGTTTCTCTGTGTAGTCTTAGCTATCCTGGAACTCAAGAGATCCACCTGCTTCTTCATCCCAAGTGCTGGGGCTAAGGGTCTGTGAAACCGTCTGACTCTTTTCCTACTTTCTGTCTCTTCTTTGGATACCAGCCCAAATTTTCAGCATGCTTGTCCTGACACTCTGGACTTTTTCACTGTCTCTCTGAAGAGGCACTTCCCACGAGGCTGCTTGCAGACCTTCACTGATAAACCTGCCTTCTCTCCTGGACTAACTGAAACAGTGCATCTTTCTATCCTCTTACCGCCTCTCCAGCCCCCAGCCCCACACAATGCTGCCTTTCCTATGATTTTTCTTTCAAATTCTAATAAAATAATTCCTAACCTTTTAACTCTGCTTTTAAATTTTTTTTGTCCAAGAGAGCAGGAACCCACAAAAGGAGACCCTAGCTCCCCAGTCACAGGCCTGCTACAGGCCAGCTCTGACCCAGTCCCTTACACTGATGGCCTCTGTACACACTGTTCCCTTTTCAACAGGCTCACACAGAATACAGCTATGGCCTGGGCGCTAGGCATCCACAGCCTGAGTCCACCCATCTCTCTTCTCTGTGAACGCTCCACTTTTTCCCTTTGCAAAATGGCCCACTTCACAGTGCCCTCAACACCGTCTCAACTGCGTGGTTCCCCAACAACATATGTGTTAAGATACAACTGTTTTGTTTGTTTGTCGTCTATCTAGGAGAGCACCTGAGCCAGGGAACCAAGGCAGCTCCCGGGAGTGCAGCTGTTACTCTGCCCGCTGAAAGGGGCCTGGCAAGGCGTTAGAGTGCTAGGAAGTTAGGGTAACCGAATATGGGGCTCTATTATGCAGCGTCCACCAGACCATCTCCATGACAGCATGGGGCTTTGTGGTAAAGCACCTACTTGGGGTTCACACATGTTCTGTAAACCCTCACCTGAGCTCTCTGAGGAAAGCCAAACTGATTTGCCACACTTAACTGATGCGGCTATATTTTGGTCTTCTGTTGGGGCCCTTTCTGGGGTGAATGCGTGAGTTTGTTCTCCCCAGGAGAAGCCAATGCCCGTAAGCACACGGAGGTCCTTCCCACCTCCCGGCCTTTGCACCTGCCACTGTTTCTGTCTGCAGTGCTTTGCCCAGGTGGACTTCCCACACTTCAAAAGACTCAGGCAGACATCACTGTGCCCTCTTGTCTACGATAACCCGCAGCCCTCCCAATTCACTCCTACATATTAGTTCTTGTTTTGCTGTTTGTGACAGAGGGTGTCCTATAGCCTAAGCTAGCCTCAAACTCTGTGTGTAGCTGAGGATGATCTGGAACTCCTGATCCTCCTGCCGCCACCTCCCGAGCACTAGAATTATAAGAACGCATCACATGCCCTGAAGCTTCCCAACTTCTCCCTTAGGGAACTACTTTCTTTACCCTCCATCTGGCTTCTGGTCATTTAAAGGAGTAACTTTCCCGAAGGTCTTGTGGAGCTCCCTCCAAAGCCTGTGCTCTTAGAATAAAGGAGCTGGGTGTGCACGGAGAAACCTGCTTTCAAGATGGTAAGGGAGAGAACTGTAAACACAAGGCTGCAGATACTGGCAGGCACTAGAGGCTTCAGCAGTAGCGGGGGTGAAACAATTACATGGGGCAAACTTGCTCTGCAGGGTCATGCTTTGGTTTTTGGCAGAAAGGAAAGTGAAATTTTCTACGATTAGGAGTGTGCTCCCATCTCCTGCTGCCTTTCCCTGAGTGGAATGGAGCTCCAGATCTCAGCCCCGCGTGGCTCCCAGGACTCACCTGGTGGTGCAGCAGGCCAGTGGAGTCTCGGAATCCCTTAGGGCAGGCGGAGCATCGGTAGGGCCGCTCTCCGGTGTGTGAGCGCAGGTGGTTAGCTAAGTTGAAGCTATGCTTGAAGCCCTTGCCACAGCGAGGGCATGCGTGGGGCTTGAGCGCTGTATGCCGAGCAAAGTGGCGCCGCAGGTCCGATCGGTAACGGAAGCTCTTGCCACATTCACTGCAGTGAAAGGGCACCCGAGGGGCAGCGGCAGATGGTGCTGGCCCTGGAACAGCAATAGGGGCTGGAACCACAGGCAGCGAGGACTCATCCATGGTGGCAGGTCCAGGGTGGCTTGGGGCTTTCTCTGGAGTATATTAGAGACACAAAAGCAGGTAAAAATCACCTCCCCAATGGCCATCCCCTCCCTTAGCTCTCTGGGCTCAGAAACACTTGTTCTCTGGGAGACCCGCCCAATGCTAAGACACGCCCACCACCAAGCCACACCCACTGCCCTTGAAAAATCTCTCTCTCTCTCTCTCTCTCTCTCTCTCTCTCTCTCTCTCTCTCCAGACCCTCTTCCTTCTCTAATCTTCCAAGCCACTTCCATTTTACTCTTCTTCCCAAGGTTTCGACAGGCTCTCTCAATCCTCTCCAAGCCCCGCCCACTACAAATTAAGGCCCTCCTACTCTTGCCTAGGTCTGGGCCCCTCCCTCTGTTCCCTAAGCACCCAGTGTTCCTCAAAAGACTTCTTGCTTCTAACTCATCTCCGAAGACAAGCTGCTAGTGAGAAGGGATTTGGGGCTGAGCACATTGCTCTCATACTTCTAGGGAGATCGCAGTAGCTCCTCTGCAGTCAGTCTGTAGCTTTGGATGAAGCCAACTGGAACTCTTAACCCATGAAATGGGTATACTGGTGCCTACGTCACACGGTGACGGTCTGAGCTAACGTGGCCAGTGTTCTTCCCAAAGCCACTGCTGCACAGCAAAGGATTAACTGAGCAGTTTGGATATTTAAGCTCCTCTCAGTTCCTTTATTCCCATCTGTTTCCTTAAAGGTTAACTTGACTTTTCCAAATTAGATTTTCGCTGAGACCTGCCTCCAAATCCCACCCAACTTTCCTTCTAAATAAGTCACCTTTTTCTTTTCTTTTCCTGGAACTCACTCTGTAGACTAGGCTGTCCTCGAACTCACAGAGATACATCTGCCCCTGCCTCCCGAGTGCTGGGATTAAAGATGTGCGCCATCACTGCCCGGCACATTTTTCTATCACCTCCTTTCCCTATCATAAGCCTGTCCTTAGCCTGCTTTCACCTTCACAATAAAGACCTGATCGTTTCACTCATACTCTCAAAATTGTATATTTCCATCGGGCACCCTTGCCATGGCAACTTTTTCTCTAAGCCACACCTTAGGCAAACTCCACATCATATTCTGGGCCTCTCTTGTCTTCCTGCACCCCATTTTTCCACTAACCTTAACAAGTTTCTTCAATTTTTCAACCTAGGCCCCTTCACCCATGGTATAAAATCCACGCATCTTTACGAGGCCCTACCCTTTGCATAAACCTCACCCATTTCCTAACCAGTCTCCACCCTTCCACAAAATCCCTCCCTCCCTACTCTAGACCCCGCCCCAACCAGCTCCTCCCTCTCTCCTGCCCCGCCCCAACCGCCATAAGCTCCGCCTCCTCCTCCTGCACCCCACTGTGTGTGGTGCTGCGGGGGCTCCCCCACCCTGCTCGATCTTTCGAACCAGGCCCGGAAAACTAGCCCTTTGTACCCCTTTCCCTGTCCCTAGAAGGTGCGGCCCCGGGCGCCCGAGGTGGGGGCAGGGTCAGGCGGCCAGGGACTAGGCGAGACCACCTTGCTTTTGCGTTGCGGAGGTCCTGGAGACCAGGCAGGACCCCGGGAGGCCGGGAAAGTCTGTCGGCTTTCCTCTTTAATTACTTACACCTCCCTCTGGGCGCCGACATTTTGGGCAGCGGGGTCAGCGTCACTTCCACCTGAGGGGCCCCTCGACTTCCGCCTCGGCTCCCTTCTCCCCCCCCCTCCTCAAGCAGCCCCCCCCGTCCTCTTTTCTCCCTCCCCCTGGCTCCCCTTTCCCGCCCCCACCCGGCCCTTCTACATTCCCTTCCTTTTCCCAGCCCAGGAGGTCAAAGAAGCTAGGTTGGTGCCATCTTGGTTGAGGGCAGAGAGAGGGGCGGGGCTTAAGTTACCCCGGAGCGCTATAGACTAAGGGCGACGCGCCGCTTCTCTTAGTCCACGGCGATTATATTTAAGAGTTTACATAAATGGGCGCAGATATGATTTCCTTCTCTTAGCCTTGGACTCCTGCTGGGCAGGTTGTCGAGTTGCATTCGGAAGGAAAAAAGCCAAGCGGGCGAACTAATACGGAGTTAGGAAACACCAAGCACCATTTTACTGCTTTAACACCATGGTGCTTTGAAGCTATCGAGCGCCATGTTAATTAGGGGCACTTAGCAGCCATTTCCCGCGTCTCATCTATCCGGTACCTGTATTTGATTGGGTCACCGGGTTGGAGTGCTTTGTGGGAGGAAAGGCATTTAGAGGTGGTCGGGGATTTTCGTGCGTTGATTCTCACAGGGACGAGGAAGGCGATTGGTGCGCAGGCGCGTCTGGGCCTTGGGACCCAGCGTATCCCCTTTGTTCCCCGCCGGCGCGGGCGGCGGGGAGGGCGGGGCCACCGGCGTCCGTACCGAGGGGCGGGGCCCGGCTCGCGCTCCGCCGCCCCCGCCCCGCCGCCGCCTAGGGGCAGGGCCCCCCTATCCCCCGCCCCTTCCCACGCTTCGGCCCGTCGCCCCCGGCGCGCGCGCGCATACACACGCGAGCCCAGGCAGCATGCAAATGAGGTACCCAGAGGCGGGGGGCCCGGGTGGGGGGGAGGGGGAAAGGGGTGGTCCCGGGTGCGCGTGCCCGAGCGCGCCCCCGGCACCTGTTCCCCGCTTCTGCGCTCTCTCCTGCGCGCGCCGACCTCGCGCCCTGCCGAGCGGTGGTCCGGGCTCGCGAGCGCAGACCCCCTCCTTGCAGCCCCTGCCGCCAATGTCCCCGCGCCGCTTATTGGCCACCGCACCCTGAGGGCCCGCCCCGCTTGCGGGCTGGGCCACTCGGGGCTGACAGGCAGACGTCCCACCGGACTGTGGGTGGGGGAGGGTCGAGGGATCACTCACTTCCTAGGTAGGTTCCAGAAATTCAGTTTTCTGTCCTGGCTATAGCATGGTGCGAACCTTGTGATCCTGGAAAGGTTGCCCCCGTGTGGACCTCATGCTGTGTGCATATGAAAAGGGGGTGCAAGGTTTGGGGTTGTAACTCAGGCCTAGTATACGTGAGGCCCCTGAGTTGGATAACCAGCATCACACATAAAGAAAACTTAAAAACCAACCAGACAACAGAACTGTTTAAAGAGCAATGCAGGGCCCCCGCAGCATGTGCTACTAGCTGCACCTGTAGCGCTCTGTCCTCCAAGTACACTCCAGTTCTACGGTCCCGAGATCTGGGCTCTGGGAAAGGACGGTGGTGGTTTTTCAAGTGCGTTCTGTATTCCAGGCAAATGTTCTAGGGACATTTTTGAAACTTTCTTATTTCAGTCGATTCTCCCCCACAACCTCGGTATATTGACTTTACAGAGAAGGAAACTGACTTGCAGCTAATTATTGGTAGAATGGGATCCAAACAGGACTGGGAGACCTCAAGTATGCCACACACACACACACACACACACACACACACACACACACACACACACACAGTCTTCCTAGGTCTTTCTCATTTCCTGGACCACCAAGGTCAGTAAAACTGATTTGACTTCATTGGCACTTACTGGCAGAGAGAACTTTAACCCACTTGGTTTTCTGTGCCTTAGTTTCCCTGTTTGCAAAACAGAAAATGTGTTTCCTCAAAAGGTTGTTGCCGGCTTTTGTGTTTCATGCTCACTGCATGTCTGGGTTAGTAAATTAACAACAGCAATAACAACAAGAGAAAGAAAGAAAAGCAAGCAAACAAACCCCGAGTTCTATCTTGCAAAGGAAATAAATGAGCCCAGAGAAGTTAGGATCTTGTATAATGCCACACAGAAAGGAAGGGACAGATTCGGCATTTCATTTCTGATTATCTGACTCCAAAGTCCAGACATTTAGCACCTTGGATACTCATCCTTCACACATCAGCAGATTTACCTAGGACCTGCCTCTTTCCAGACCTCCTCCCCATCTCTGTGTGGAAGAGGGCTTTTGGAGGCTTTTGTGGCCCAGAGTTCCATTTTCAGCTAGATTTTTTTCTTTTTACTCATTTTGACCTTAAAGGCTAAAGTAGTTACTGATCTGTTGCTGTGATGAAAATCCATCACCACGGCAATTTATAAGAAGGCATTTGCTGTGCGGTGGTAGTGCACGCCTTTAATCCCAGCACTCAGGGAGGCAGAGGCAAGCAGATCTCTGTGAGTTCAGGGCCAGCCTGGTCTACAGGAGCTGGTTCCAGGATAGCCAGAGGTACACAGAGAAACCCTGCCTCAAAAAAACAAAACAAAACAAATCCAAACCAAAAAAAAAAAAAAAAAAGGCAGCATTTAGTGGGGCTTGCTTACATTTTCAGAGAGTGAGTCCACAATTATCTTGGTCAGGAGTGTGGGGACCAACAGGCTGTCCTGATGCTGGAACAGTAGCTAAGAGTTCATATCCTATCCATAAGTTTCAGGTAGAGGGAGACTGGCCTGGTATAGGATTTGGAAATCTCAAAGCTCACTCCTGGTGAAACACCTCTTCCCACAAGGCACCACCTACTCCATCAAGGGCACACTGTAGTCCGACTTTCCCTCGGACCATCAGCTTACAAATAACAACGTAGAGTCTTATTATTAATTATGAAAGCTTAGCCTTAGCATAGACTTTTCCAACTAGCTGTTATAACTTAAACGAACCTGTTTCTGTTAATCTACATTCTGCCATGTGGCTTGGTTACTGCTCCTCTGTACCATATGTCCAGCTTCTGCAGTGTCTGGCAGGCAGCTCCTGCCAGGCCAGATTCTAACCCTGAGTTCCTCTCTACCCACAAGTCCCGCCTAACCTCCCCAGCCTAGCTATTGGCTGTTCAGCTGTTAGACCAGTCGCAGCAATACATTTTCACTCAGTGTACAAATATCCCACAACACCACACCTCCTAATCCTTCCCAAAGAGTTCCACTGATGGAGCCAGACATTCAAACCTAGGAGCCTGTGGGGAGCGGGATCATTCTCAAACTGCCATTAAAGAATGCTAGAGAGAGTCATGGGATACACTTCGGAGGAGGGCAGTCAGTATGTCTTATCAACTTGTACAGAATTGTCTTCTTATATAGGTCTCCAAAGACTTAGGAGGGATAGATGAGTTATTGGGGTAATGGGGGCTTAGACCCTCACCACACTGACGCCGCCCCCTCTCTTCTCTTAGCCGGCTCCAGTACCCAGACTCAAGCTCCCCACTGCTCAATGGACAACCCCAGCTCAGACCCGTTGCCTTCAACTTTGTCTGGGGAGGAAGAAAAACCTCTGGCCTTACTTCCTCCTGTTCCCCGGGGCCGCCGAGGCCGGCCACCAGGGGGAGCCACCACCTCCAGTCGGACTCTCAAGTCCTCCCTCCCTCGAAAGCGGGGCCGCCCCCCCAAATCAGTGCAGGAAGCCCCGTTGGCAGCACCAGTGGACGGCGGTGGCAGCAACGATCTTCTGTTGATCGATGATCAGGGTGTTCCTTACACAGTTCCGGAAGGATCAGCAGCAGATGGGCCCCAGGGCTCTGGCTCCAAGAGGGCTCCACACTTCTGTCCTGTGTGCCTGAGAGCCTTCCCCTACCTCTCCGACCTGGAGCGCCACAGCATCTCGCACTCAGAGTTGAAGCCACATGTGTGCAAAGATTGCGGCAAGACCTTCAAGCGGTCCAGCCACTTGCGGCGTCATTGCAACATCCATGCCGGCCATCGGCCCTTCCGTTGTGTGCTCTGCCCGCGTCGCTTCCGCGAGGCCGGGGAGCTCGCACATCACCACCGCATCCACTCTGGCGAGCGCCCATATCAGTGTCCCTCGTGCAGGGTGCGCTTCACCGAAGCCAATACTCTTCGGCGCCATTACAAACGCAAACACCCAGAGCTTGTGGGAATGCCCGTGCGCCTGTGCCCCCCAAACCCAAGACCCCAACCGCTGTGGGATGATGATGAGGGTGTGCCTGTTCCAGAAAGGGTGCAGGAAGAGAGTCCTGAAGGAAAGACGCCTGCTTGGCCTGTATCCTCCACCACTTCTCCCCTGTCTGGGTTTACAGCAGGGAGTTCAGCTGGTGCTGGGCAAGGAGGCCAAGACACCCTTGTTTCTAGTGGTGTTCCCGTCACGGAAGGGGGTCGAAAGCAGGGACCTAAACCGCTGGGCCCTGATGCCATCTAGCACCTTCCTTCGGACTGACAGGCTCTGGGAGGCATGGGCCGTGGAAATAAATCCCTGCCTACTGACTTCCAGTGTGTGTTCAGTCATGGTGCCTGTCCCTTTCAATGTTCCTCTGTTACCTTCCCTGACTGTGGTGTGTGTGATTGGAGAGAAACCATTTCCCCTATCTCCTTAGCATGGTGCCAAAGAACCAATGGCTTGGAACAAGCCTTGGAACAAGCCCATCTCCATCAGACAAGTACTGTAAAACATTTAACCCACTATGCAAACGTGACGCTGGGCCCCTTCATCCTAGCTGAGTCCCCAGAAATTCTACCTAGGACACTCTTTGCTCCAACTTCTTTTCCAGAGGACTTGCTATTCGGATGAAAAAAAAAACAAGTTGAGGGCTTGCAGTATAACTCGGTGGTAATGTGCTTTCAATGCACAAGGTGGAGTGAGAGGCCAGCTCCAGGGTGTGGGGTGAGGAGGGTGAACAGAACCGAACATTTCCATAGGGTTTAGAGAAAAGGATGTGAGCTCGAGGGGAGGGTGGGACTTAAGATGAGGTACAAAACCTGGGCAATAAAAACTAGGTCGCAGTTTAGGAAAGGAGGCAAAAAATTGGGCTGAGGATCAAAGAACTTTAAGGCTTGGCTGGCAGAAAGCAAGTTAAAGGGGATGGATGGCATTTAACTGAAAGGTGGGGCTAAAAGAAGTCTTTTAAAAATGAAGTAGAGTTCAGATTGTTGATTTTAAAGATCTTTTAATATAGGCGTACGAAGCAATTAAGGCACCCCTGTGAACATTCATAGGGGCATCTCAAAAATCAATTCCATGGAAGTACTTTCCAAAGTGCGGTATTAACCATTTGGGGAGGGTGCTTAGGGATGGACATTATTGCTATTCAGGCCATGGAGAGGGAAGAAAAATAGACTAAAATTAGGTTCAGCTGTTCATAGCGGGACTAAGTTAAGAGTAGTGCATCCCCCTTCAATCCTAGCACTCAGAAGGCAGAAATGGACGAATCTCCGAGTTCGAGGCCAGCCTGGTCTACAGAGAGAGTTCCAGGCCAGCCAGGGCTATACAGAGAAACCCTGTCTTGAAAAACCAAACAAAAAGTCGTGCATCCAAAGTGTCTCTACTCGAATCTCTGAAACCCACCCCAAAGCTTTCTATTCAGTAAGTCTGGGTTAAGGCGCATCACGTTGATTGATGCCAATGTTTGCGAATAACTGACTTAAAGGAACGTTTCAAAGTGCAAAGCCGAACTACAAGCATACAAATTATTAGAGAGCCAGCCCCATAATCTCAGAGTTCCCGAAAGCTCTGACAGGAGGATTGCTGCAAATTTGAGGCCAGTATGCCCTACACAGGAGTTCAAGGCCACTTTGAGCCACAGTGTGAGACCATGTCTGAAAAGAAGAAATTAAAAAGTAAAAAAGTGATGTCTCTTAAATGCGAGGGGCGGTGCACAGCTTTTTTTTTTTTTAATAAGAGACAGGATTTAAAAGGGGGAGTGATCTGTGGGTGTGGCCTGGGCGGGAGGGTGGAATTCCAAAAGTAGGGGTTTAGAGAGAAGACTAGAACAAACTAATTGGAGGTGCAGCAAAAGGAATCGAACCAACCTAAAACAAGACGTTCGGAAATGGGCGGGACCCAGCCTAGGGGGCGGAGCTCAAGCGTGAGACCCGAGCCCCAGGGTGTGTCCTAGCCGGATGCCTAGAGTCCGTGGGTGGTGTGAGCGCAGGCGCAGCAGGCTCCGTTCGCCCACCGGAAGCGGCCTAAGCTGTCGGCCCCCCCCCCCCCCCCCCGTGTCGTGAGACACTGTGCCGGCGTAATTTCCCTTCCCCGTTCCCCGGCCGCCCCCCTCCACGCCGGCGCTTTGGGGGAACCTGCGCGACTTCCGCTTCCGGGCAGGAGGCGCGGGGCTGGTGAGGAGTGGGGGGGAAGGGGCGGCACTTCCGGTTGGGCCCTCGGGTCTCCCCGGAGCGGCGGCACCTCCTCCGCCTCCTCAGCCTCCTCCCGGCGGAGACCCCAGCGCCGGTGAGTGACGGGGTGCGCGGCCCGGGGACCCGGGTTCCTCGGGGGCGGGGGGCCTCTTCCTGGCCTGCCGCAATCCCCAGGACGCACCCCCCCCGAACGTCAGTGCTTCACTGCCGGGCCCGAGGCAGGGGATCCCCAATCACTAGTCCCCCACAAGATCACTCCAGATATATCCCCATAGACGCCCCCCCCTCACTGTGGGCTGGCTACCAACGCGTTTTCATTCGTAACGAACCTCTCAAGAGCCAGGGCCCCCCACGGATCCTTTCCCTACAGCCTCGTCAGCTTCCTCCACGAGACCCTCCCCATGCCATCAGCATTGCTATGCTTGCAGGGCAGCTGCCCATGAGCCCTCGGTCCCTATCTCCTGTACGATCGCCTCCAGGGGGTGTTGCATTAGTACTTTGTGACCAGAGTTGCCCCCCACCATGTCTGACCACACACAACCCATCCCCAATGCCTTCTTTGTGGGTGCAAAAATATTTTCTATTCTGGCCTATGCCAAGATTGCTTTTTAAAAATCCCTTCCTGCAACCCCATCAAAAAGACCCTTCAGTGGCACAGCTCCATCCAGAGTCCTTTCCCCCATTAGGGAGAGACATCTGCCTGCTTAGCATCAGGTTCTCATGAAACACTCCCGCCCCACTTCCCTCCCTCCCCTCATCCTGGCCTCTGCTTTCCCAGAACAATGCAAGTTAGCAGAGAATGTTCCTCTATGGAGCATCAGCAGCTCTCATCCCCATCTTTAGCCAAGTCTCGTGACAGTGTCCCAAACTTCCTAGGAAAGACCCTGGCGCTGTTTACGTCCTTTCCCATATGTTCTTTCTCGTTACTGAATGAGCCCCACCGTTCTAGGCCCACGCCATGCAGTTGTGGAGGGGAGAGGCGCAGCTAACCCTCATTTTCCAGGGGTTTGCAGCCTAGTTGAGAGGCAGATCAGAAACAAACAGTGTGCTCTTTGGGTTTTCTGAGAGTCTGGTGAGCTATGCCCGGAGGTGAATGCTGAAACAGAAGATTTAATCGTGCCATTCAAAGATCTGGGGGAACAGCTGGTGCAGAATTCTGGAGGTAACAGTGATGTGTGGAAGAGCAGCAGTGAGCTTGAAGCAGAAGTGAAGGAGAGAAGGCTTGATCCCAAAGAGCCTGGGGATAAATTGCCTGGCTTTTGTCTGCTCTACCAAGCTCCTAAGATTCTTCCTGCATCCACTTGTTTCTTATTGACCCATAAACACTTTCAACACCCGTTTAATGAGCATCTACTTCCTACAGAGAATAAAATGGGCAAAGATTCCTGTCCACATAGAGCGGCTATGCTAGTTGAGAAGGTGGACATTAGAAATCAAGCTACCTGGGGTTGGGGGACATAGTTCAATCAGTAAAGTGTTTGATCCTGAATTCAGAGTCTCAGCACTTACATTAAAGAAAAAAAATGGGCATAGTGGCACATGTCTCTAATCCTGGCACTGGGGAAGTGGATGAGGAGATTCCTGGGGCTCACTGGCTAACTCCAGATTTAATGAAAGACTGTCTCAAAGAAGGAGAGGAGAGCAGTTGAGCAGGCCAAGCAACATTGGCCTGGGCCTCCATACCCTCACATGTAAACATAAACCACACACAAAATAAAAATAAACATGTGGACAGAGTTTCATCTCTTGGGGATGCTCTTATTCCATCTTGCTCCTCAGGAACAGACAGTTTGGTCCTAGACTGCTGTGGCTGCCGCGGGGCTGCTCTGACAGCGCCTCACCTTGCAGGCTGTGGATTTGACTAGACTTGAGTCTTTTCTCACCCTGTGTGCCTGGCCTTGTTCCTTCGCTTCTTCAGTAATTTATCAAGCCACCAGTGAGATGGCTCGGGGGTAAAAGCTCTTGCTCCCAAGCCTGCTGACCTGAGTTCAGTTCCCACAGCCCGCATGTGGAAGGGGAGAACTGACTCCTGTAAGTTGTCCTCTGACCTACACATCTGCACACACAAGAAATAAATGTAACACTTTTGTTTTTGTTTTTATTTAATTATTAGCAAGCTAGGTACTGAGGACAGAGTTCAGAGCAAAGCATTTAAAAATCTTGTTTCTGGGGCTGTGGAGATGGCTTAGTGGTTAAGCCACTTGCCATAAAAGCATAAGGATCAGAGTTCAGATTCCCAGAACCCATCTGAATGCCAGTGAGTTGGGAGATCCACCTGTAATTTCAGTCTCTGAAGGCAGAAATAGGACCTCCAGAGCAGTCTGGATAACCAGACTGGCCATATCTGTGAGCTCTGAGTTTGACTGAGTGGAAGAGAGATGGAGGATCATTCCTAGCATCCGGTCTCTACGTGCACACGTGTGCCTGCACATGTGAAAATGGAAAAAGAAAATCTTGGCATCAGAGAGTGATCCCAGTAAAAACACAGTCAGGAAAGCAGAACGTGGGGTGCATTCAATGCTGGTGATATGGAGGGAAATGAAGCTAGCTGGGTAGTGTAGGTCTGGGGGACAGGTGGCACTGACCGCTCAGAGCCTCCATTGAAAAGACAATTGAACAGAGACAGGAAGGAGATGAGGAGAGTGCGGGGGAGTTAATTTTGCCTGCAAAAGCAACAGTCCTGAAACACAGGCCCCAGAGCAGAAATGGAGCCAGCGCAGTGGAAGAACAGCTGCAAGCTTGTGGGGGCCTGTGTTGGTCATGGAAGGACTTTGGGAAGGCAGGGTCTCGAGGTTTTCTGCAAGAAGGGCCTGGCCTGGCCTTCATCCTCCCAGCTAAGCAGGATAGCAATACTTCTGAGAGTGCTGGGAATTTTTTTTAATTATTTTTTTATTTTCCGTGCATTGGTGTTTTTGCTTGCATTTGTCTCTGTGTGAAGGTGCTGGAACTCCTGGAGCGGCAGTTGTAGTTGTGAGCTTCTGTGTGGGTGATGGGAACTGAACCCAGGTCCTCTGAAGAGCAGCCAGTGCTCTTAACCACTGAGCTGTTGGGAATCTTGAATGGGACACACTGTGTGAAGCAGAGAGCCCCATACTCTAGAGTTAAGTGAATGCCAGTGGCTGGTCTGGAGTCGGGCAGACTGAGAGGCGTGACTAGGAGGCAGGAGGCAGGGAGAGGATGGAGCGGGTCACAGCTCCAATGTGCAGCTGCAGGGGCCCCATTTCTGTTTTGGAAAGTAAAATACTGACAGGGAAGAGTGGAGTGTGGAACCCCACCACTTTCCTTCAACCCCACTCATCTCAGTGAACCCCCAGCTCTTCCTTAGTGATTTTTGGAGGGGGTAGGGTTTTTTTTTTTTTTTTTTTTTTTTTTTTTTTTTTTTTTTTTTTTTTTTTGAGACAGGGTCTCTGTGTATCCCTGGCTGTCCTGGAACTCACTGTGTATCCCAGGCTGGCCTTGAACTGAGAGGTCAGCCTGCCTCTGCCTCCTGAGTGCCGGGAGTAAAGGTGTGTGCCACCACTGCCCAGCTGTGCCTCAGTGTTTCTGAGTCTACCCGTCCTTTCTTATTGTTTTGAGGAGAACTTGGAAGAGACAAATAACATGTGACTTGTTAATATTTTCCCCCTGTGTGTGGCATGGTACATGTGTATACTTATATAGGGGCCAGAGGTTGACGTGTGTGTCTTCCCCGATTCTGCTCTGCTTTATTGAAGCAAGGGCTCCCACTGGATCTGAAGCACTCAAGTTGGGCTAGTGTAGTTAACCTGCTTGCCATGGAGATCTCTCATCTCTGCCGGTTTTTTTTTTTTTTAGTTTATTTTTATTTCATGTGCATTGGTGTTTTGCCTGCATGTAGGTGTCAGATCCCCTGAAACAGGAGTCACAGACATGTGAGCTGCCATGTGGGTGCAAGGAATTGAACCTGGGTCCTCTGGAAGAGCAGCCAGTGCTCCTAACCACTGAGCCATCTCCCCAGCCCTATCTCTACCTTCTTTTTTTAAAAAATATTTATTTATTTATTTATTATGTATACAATATTCTGTCTGTGTGTATGCCTGCAGGCCACAAGAGGGCACCAGACCCCATTACAGATGGTTGTGAGCCACACCATGTGGTTGCTAGGAATTGAACTCAGGACCTTTGGAAGAGCAGGCAATGCTCTTAACCTCTGAGCCATCTCTCCAGCCCCCTCTACCTTCTTCTTAAGTACTGGATAACAGAGAACTGTTTTGCCCACCTGACTTACTTTTCTGTGGGTTATGGGGATGCAAATTCTGGTCTTCAGTCTTGCATACCAAGTGCTCTATCCACTGAACCATCTCCTCACCCCTGTTAAAACTTGCTGTATTTATGTGGAACTCCGTTTGGTGTGTGGAGTGGGGCAGTCTCTTCCATTATAATTGTATAAACTTTTCCTTGGCACACGGCACCTCAGGAAAGGGGCAGTTTGGGACTGGAGAGATGGATCCACACTAGGAGTGCCTGCTATTCTCATAGAACCCAACACCTACATGGTGGCTCTCAACCCCCTGGAGCCCAAATCCAGGGGATCTGACATTCTTTTCTGACTTCCACTCAGTCACATAGGCAGTGCACAGACAGATGTGCCTGGAGAAAATAAAAAAATATTATTAAAACGGAGCAATTGAAGACTTATGTCATGCTTACTCAGTAAATACTTACTGAACCATCTTTCTAGTCTCTTATTATTTGGCAAATATTTATTAATATAGATGTCTACTGCAATAAATTTCCCTTTGAGCACTGTATTACCTATCTCTCTTCAGTGTTGGTATGGGTTTTTTTCTTTTTTTCTTTTTATTGCCTGAGACAGAGTGCTAAATAGCCCAGGTTGGCCTTGAACATGCTATGCAGCTGAGGCTAATCTTGAACTCCTGGTCTTCCTACTTCCTCAAGTGCTGCTGAGATTATGAGCATGTGCCACAGCACCTGGCTGTGACTTCATTTTCAGTCATTGCAACGCATTCTCTGATTCTCTTCATCTCTACATAGCAACAGATATTTGTTAAGTATCTGTAGCTTGTCCACATCTGCACTGTGGTAGGTGCTAGGGCATAGTGGCAAAGAAAGCAGGCTACTTTAGTCCTTGCTCCCGTAGTGGAGAGGTCAGACAGTAATAGTGCATGGCAAAGTAATCTGTTGATGGCACTAGCTGTGGTGAAAAGAATAGAGCTGGGTTATGGTCTAGCGGAGACAGTGTGAGGATAGAAACCTGAATAGGATGTGTGGGGGGGAGGGTATCATTGACTGCTGGGGAAGGATGTCCTGAGGCAGACAAAGAATCCATGGGGTTTGTTGCTTTTTGAGCCGGTCTCCTGTATCCCAGGCTGGCCTCGAACTCACTACATAGGCAAGGCTAGCCTTGAATCCTCCCTCAGGTTCACAGAAGCTGGGGTTATAGAGCTGCACAACCATGCCTGGCAGAATCTATTGAATAGTAATCCCCCACACCACCTCATATAAATAGCCCAGAAAGCACCCCTAAAGGAGACTCCTGTTGCCATAATTCTACCCTGCACCTCCTTCCACTTGCAGGGTGCAGCTCCTGGGAAAGCCTCTCCCATAGGGGATGGCATCTCTGGCTGTCACACCAGCTGCTCTACTGCACACTTGCTCTGGGGACCTCGAGGACTCACTAGATCCTTGGTGCTTCAGTGCGTTGAGTGGAGAGAGAAGCGACTCCATATGAGTTGTAACAAGGATCTTGTGAGTTAAGAAGTGGAAGAGCTTAGCTCAGGCCAGTCTGTGTGAGACACCCCGGCTACAGCAGCTGTCACTAAGGTCCCCGCCCCCTTCCGTAGCACTCTGAATTGGTCTCTGCCTCCCGCATCCTTCCACTGTGTGTCTTCCTCCTTGCTGGCGGCATCCCGCACTTAAGCTCTGTGTGCAGTCTTCTGGTTGCCATGCCTTTGCTTCTCCTGAATGCTTCTCCTGGAGCTTAGACTGAATGGAAGGGCTGTAAAGGGCACGGGTGTTGACTCTTGTTCAAGAACACTCAGAGCTGGATACTAAAAATATCTATTTCTGTGTAGAGGTGGGGTGGAGACACCTTTTACCTGTGTGTGCCAAGAGCCAGCCAGGCAGACTAAATAAAGGTCCTGGGCCTTGGAGGGACATCCTGTCCCCTGCGGCTCCTTAGGTTTTGAGTATAGTATGATTAGAAAGATGAGGGCTGGGCCAGAACTGCCGAACTATAGGGGCAAGGGATGATGGGCAAAAATGGGCCTTTCTCCCAGCGACTCTTCAGAAGCTCAGTAGGGCTGCTGTGTGTGTGAACACAGGAGTGAACTCCAGAAGCTGAGGTTCCAGTGAGGAGAGAAGACAGACAGCAGGAGTGGAAAACAGACAGAAAAAGTTGTACAAAAAGTGCCTGCCTGCCTGTTGGGAGGAGCTAAGAGAAACTGTAATCCAAGGACCAGGGTCGGTGTGCCCAGGTGTGTGATGTCATCATTTATGGCATCCAGCCCTAGGGGTGGAATGCACACTACTGATAATGTTGCATTTCACCCTCAGCTCCCCATGTAGAAGTTCAGGCCCCGTTTTAAATGTGGAGAAAGCATGGACCTAGCAAAGATCAGATCAGAACCCAGGTCTATGCAGGCACTCTTGCCGTAACTACCTTGACCTAGGCTAGTGGATTTTTCTTTCTGCCTTGCAATCAAAGAATATTCCCTCTCCCCCAGTATTGAGCTCTTACCCAGTTTTCTTGGCTTCCCTTTTTCTACTACTGGAATAGATACTATCAATTCATGGAAGGCATTACCATATACTGAGTGTTTACAAGGCGCCAGGAGGGGCCTTCCACATGCTAATGTTAAACTGTTGGATCTTCACAACAGCCCAGTGCTTGATAGCTCCTGCTGCCCTAGACCTTCTCCTTCCTCCCCGCCTCCCTCCCCTACCACAAGATTACCTCAAACTTGGAGCAATCTCAGCCTCCTGAGTGTTTGGTTTGCCCTTAGTCACAATGGTTGTGGAGGCAGAGGTTCTGTCATTTGCCTGTGGTCACACAGCTAGAAAGGGGGGGGGGGTGGCCCATGCCTTTAATTCCAACACTTGAATCTCTCAGTTTGAGGCCAGCCTGGTCTGCAGAGTGAGTTCCAGGACAGCCAGAGCTACTCAGAGAAACCCTGTCTTGGGGGGGAAAAAAAGAAAAGAAAAGAAAGGGACTGGACTTAGGTTTGAAGTTGTCATTTTGGTTCCTGAAGCCCCTGTCTTAACTACTTAGGTGGGTGCTATTTTTATCCTCATTTTATAGTGGCAAACCTGGGAAGATCAAGACCAGAGGAAAGTATGTGGAGGGAGTGGAGGAATCTCAATGTAGAGCAGGAGAGGGTTTTAAACCCCCCCTCCCCCCTCCCCATCCCCCTCCATCACCAAGGTCCTGGGAGAATTAGTTTTGGGGGAGAAAGCAAGTGCATAGAGAAGACAGTCTGAGGGTGGATAGGGAGATGCGTGAAGATCCAGGAAAAGATGGGGGTAAGGTTGGGAGGAGGCTAGGAATGACCCTGGACTCACACAGGTAAGAGGGAAACTTGTATGGGCAGATTGTCAGGTGATCTAAGAGATTGGCGCTGGTGCAGGAGCATGGACGTAGTTCCCTTTGCCTGCTACTCACGGGCTCCCCTTGCTCAGTCCCCATCCTCTTCTTCACAGGGTCTCCCTTCTCTCCACCGGCCAGAGATGGAGGCAAACCAGGCAGGCAGCGGTGCCGGGGGTGGCGGGAGCAGCGGCATCGGGGGAGAGGACGGGGTCCACTTCCAGAGTTACCCCTTTGACTTCTTGGAATTCCTCAACCACCAGCGCTTTGAGCCCATGGAACTGTACGGGGAGCATGCCAAAGCAGTGGCGGCCCTGCCCTGCACCCCGGGGCCCCCGCCCCAGCCCCCGCCCCAGCCTCCTCCGCCTCAGTATGACTACCCACCCCAGTCCACTTTCAAACCCAAGGCGGAGGCTCCTTCCTCATCCTCCTCGTCATCATCTTCCTCCTCATCTTCATCTTCTTCATCTTCTTCATCCTCTTCTCAAGCCAAGAAGCTGGATCCGTCATTGCCGCCCACCTTCGGGGCGCCACCCCCTCCGCTCTTTGATGCTGCCTTCCCTGCCCCGCAATGGGGAATTGTTGACCTCTCTGGGCACCAGCACCTGTTCGGAAACCTGAAACGAGGAGGGCCCACACCTGGGCCTGGGGTGGCATCAGGTCTTGGCACTCCCACCGGGACCCCTGGGCCACTTCCCACACCCACGCAGACCCCACCTGGGCCCACAGTCGGGGCGGCCTGCGACCCAACCAAGGACGATAAGGGCTACTTCCGAAGGCTAAAGTACCTGATGGAGCGTCGCTTCCCATGCGGTGTGTGCCAGAAGTCCTTCAAACAGTCCTCACATCTGGTCCAGCACATGCTGGTGCACTCTGGGGAGCGACCATACGAATGCGGCGTCTGTGGCCGCACCTACAACCACGTATCCAGTCTCATACGCCACCGACGCTGCCACAAGGATGTGCCACCAACTGCTGGGGGTCCGCCGCAGCCTGGGACACCGCTTCCTTCGCTGGGCCTCCCGGTACCCACTTCCAGTGCCACAGCCACCTCCGCTCCTGCTGCAATGTCCTCCGGCCCCTCAGCTACACCTGCAGCACCTGCCACCTCCACGGATGGGAATGCCACCCCCGCTGCCGCTGCCGCAGCTGGGGTGGCCTTGCCTCCCCCCACCACTACTGGCGGGGAGGGCCCATTTGCCTGCCCCCTCTGCTGGAAGGTCTTCAAGAAGCCCAGCCACCTCCACCAGCACCAGATCATCCACACGGGTGAGAAGCCCTTCTCCTGCACCGTGTGCAGCAAAAGCTTCAACCGGAGGGAGAGCCTCAAACGGCATGTGAAAACGCACTCGGCCGACCTGCTGCGCCTGCCCTGTGGCATCTGTGGTAAGGCCTTCCGCGATGCCTCCTACCTCCTCAAGCACCAGGCGGCTCATGCAGGGGCCGGGGCCCCGCGGCCGGTCTACCCTTGCGACCTGTGCGGGAAGACCTACTCAGCGCCCCAGAGCCTGTTGCGGCACAAGGCTGCCCACGCGCCACCTGTGGCCACCGAACCGGCCAAGGATGGGGCGACCCCAGTCCCGCAACCACCTCCCACCTTCCCCCCGGGCCCTTACCTCCTGCCGGCGGACCCGACCACCACCGACGAGAAAGCCACAGCTGCTGCAGCGGCGGTGGTGTATGGGGCGGTGCCTGTGCCACTTCTCGGCACGCATCCGCTGCTGCTCGGTGGTGCCGGGAACGGCGGCGCTGGTGGCGCGGGCACGGGCGTCCCAGGCAAGACGTTTTGCTGCGGCATCTGCGGGCGGGCGTTCGGGCGCCGCGAGACCCTGAAGCGCCACGAGCGCATCCATACCGGCGAGAAGCCCCACCAGTGCCCAGTGTGCGGGAAGCGCTTCCGCGAGTCCTTCCACCTGAGCAAGCACCATGTGGTGCACACCCGGGAACGGCCCTACAAGTGCGAGCTGTGCGGCAAGGTCTTCGGCTACCCGCAGAGCCTCACGCGTCATCGCCAGGTGCACCGGCTCCAGCTGCCCTGCGCCCTGGCCGGAGCCACAGGCCTCACCGGGGGCCAGGGGACCACGGGGGCCTGTGGACCGGGGGCTGCAGGTGCTTCGGGCGGGCCCGCCGACGGCCTGAGCTACGCCTGCTCGGACTGTGGGGAGCATTTCCCGGATCTCTTTCACGTCATGAGCCACAAAGAAGCCCACATGTCAGAGAAGCCTTACGGCTGTGACTCCTGCGGCAAGACCTTCGGCTTCATCGAGAATCTCATGTGGCACAAGCTGGTCCACCAGGCTGCCCCGGAACGTCTTCTGCCGCCAACTCCCAGTGGTCCCCAGTCCACTGATAGTTCTAGCGGCGGCACCGACGCATCCAGCGTGCTGGACAACGGACTGGCCGGAGAGGTGGGGGCGGCGGTGGCAGCGCTGGCCGGAGTGTCTGGGGGCAGCGAGGATTCGGGTGGGACGACTGTAACCGGAGGGGGTGGCGGGGCCACTTCAGGCGCTGAGCGCTTCAGCTGTGCCACGTGCGGCCAAAGCTTCAAGCATTTCCTGGGTCTGGTGACTCACAAGTATGTGCACCTGGTGCGCCGGACCCTGGGTTGTGGCCTCTGCGGCCAGAGCTTTGCCGGCGCTTACGACCTGCTCCTGCACCGCCGAAGCCACCGACAGAAGCGGGGCTTCCGCTGCCCGGTGTGCGGAAAGCGCTTCTGGGAGGCGGCCCTGCTGATGCGCCACCAGCGCTGTCATACAGAGCAGCGGCCCTACCGGTGCGGCGTGTGCGGCAGAGGCTTCCTGCGTTCCTGGTACCTGCGGCAGCACCGAGTAGTGCACACGGGCGAGCGCGCCTTCAAGTGCGGAGTGTGCGCCAAGCGCTTTGCGCAGTCCTCCAGCCTGGCCGAGCATCGGCGACTACACGCCGTGGCCCGGCCTCAGCGCTGTGGCGCCTGCGGCAAGACCTTCCGCTACCGCTCTAACCTGCTGGAGCACCAGCGGCTGCACCTGGGCGAGCGCGCCTACCGTTGCGAGCACTGCGGCAAGGGCTTCTTCTACCTGAGCTCGGTGTTGCGCCACCAGCGTGCCCACGAGCCCCCGCGGCCCGAGCTGCGTTGTCCCGCCTGTCTCAAGGCCTTTAAGGATCCTGGCTACTTCCGGAAGCACCTGGCTGCCCATCAGGGAGGTAGGCCCTTCCGCTGCTCCTCCTGCGGTGAGGGCTTTGCCAACACCTATGGTCTGAAGAAACATCGCCTGGTGCACAAGGCTGAGGGTCTTGGGGGGCCCGGAACAGGGGGAAGCGCCTTGCCCGGGAAGGATCCCTGACCAGGGAATTTCAATGCACTACTCCAATCAGATGTTCCCTTCTGGACTCCCCCCCCCCCCCCCCCCCCCCCCCCCCCCCCCCCCTCCTCCTCCTCTCTCCTTCCTGGGGCTGCTGGTCTGACTCTCCCCACCCCTCCTTATTGTTACCCATTCTAAAGAACTACAGATGGTCTAGCTTCCTTCCGACCCCATGCCCTGCCCTATAAACTGAAGGTTAAATTGCTACAATGCCAGGCCATTTTGGCCCTTCCTTCTTCGTCCGTCAGACACTGAACTTGATCCTCCGTCCAGCCTTCTTTTGTAAACCTCATCTGCTACCCAGCCGCGTTTTGGCTCCCGTGAACTCCGCGGTGAAGATGGGCCTGAATTACCCGCGGCCTCTACTTCCTTTGGGATCTGGCTGGACAGTGGACTATGAACAGAGTTGAGGAGGCACAGGTTGGGGGTCTGGGTGCTCTTGGGTTGGGGGGAGGGGGGAACAGACGCGGCTTGTACAGAGCAGAGAACAATAAATCGTATCAACAGGGCCGCTGGGGTCTGTCCTTGCTGTTCCTGGGGGATTGTGATAACTGGATGGACACACAGCACCTCTGTCGTGTTTCACCTGGGTTGAGTGAGGATTTGCCATGTCCCCGGCGTTAGCCTACGAACTGGGCAAGTGGCGAGAGTGAGACAGGTAAGTCCATCTCCCGGGAACCGATTTGAGATTCCGAGACTCCTCTTCAGGATGTTTTCAGCCACCATGACCGGAAGTCTGTCTGCCAAGTCCTGGCCTGGGTACTAGGGAAACATGAATTGAGTGGACATGACATTCACACTTCAGTAGCTGGGAGAGCACGCCTGTGGAATTCACCACTGCCTGCAGACTTTCTGGAGACAGGATCTCATGGATTCTAGGCTGGCCATGGACTTGCTTTGGAGGTAAGGATAGCCTTGATTTTTGTTTTGTTTTGGAGACAGGGTGGGTCTCTCTCTGTAATTCTTGGCTGTTCCAGAACTCTATAGACCAGACTGGCCTTGAACTCACAGAATCCACCTGCCTTAACCTCCCTGGTACTGACATTAAAGGTGTGCACCACCACAGCTGGCTAATCTGGAACTTTCTTTTTGTAGTTAGTTTTTTTTAACTTAAAGAAATTTTATGTATGGTTATTTTGCCTTCATGTAGGTTTGTGCACCACTTGATGCCTGGTGCCCCTGGAGGGGAAAGAGGCCTTTGGATCATCTGGCCCTAGAGTAACAGATGGTTGTGAGACACGATGTGTGTGCTGCGATTGAAACTCTGGTCCTCTGAAGGAGCAGTTAGTCCCCTTAACTGTTGAGCCATTCCTTCAGTCCCAAATTTGTAATTTTATTTTTTTAAAGATTTATTTATCTATTATACATACAGTATTCTGCCTGCATGTATGCCTGCAGGCCAGAAGAGGGCACTAGATCTCATTCTAGATGGTTGTGAGCCACCATGTGGTGGCTGGGAATTGAACTCAGGACTTCTGGAAGAGCAGCCATTTCTCCAGCCTTGGAATTTTATTTTTATTCTCAGTTTCATACATATATGTATATGTGTACACACACATACAACTTTGGTTCTGTCTATAAAGCCCTCAGGATGCTCATCCCTCTCACCCTCCTGCTGAACTCTTCCTTTCCAGCAGGCTCTTCTACTTCCATGTCCTTTATTCTCTTGGTGCCCCATTGTGTTTAGTCAGGGTTGCTTGCATAAATGGATTGGGCAGTTGATTTACCTGAGCAAGGGCAGCTTACCAACAACTACATCACTGGACTACAACCCCTCTTCCCTGGGCAACCATTAACTACCTACCTACAGCTTCTCGGAGAGGAGTGGGGCTTTAAGAGCCTCTTCCTCATGACTACAAACTTCTGATCCCTCTGCTTCCACTTCTGGAGTGCTGGGAAGATGGGCATGTGCTGTTATGCCTGGTTTCTGTGGTGCTGGCAATTGAACCCAGGATATCATGCATGCTAGGCAAGCACCCTAGCTACACCCTAGCCCACACACTACATCCTCTTCTGATGGAGTGTGCAAATTCCATTAGCATCCAGTTCCCCTGCTTCTTTTGAATCTGAACACCGAGCCTGAGTGTCAGTTGCTATATTTCCCCTCCCCTTGAATCTGGCCACTTACCCATACTGCTGATGTGTTGGTGGTCCCTTCCCATAGCAATCGGGAGTTTCTGTTTAGTGGCAAGGATCCATGTGAGAAAGTGGAGAAGGCAGGACCTGACGCGCACTGCTTTAGTCATTCAGACATGAGGGCGTTGATGAACATATGATGGATGGAAAGAAGTACCCGGACCCCAAGGGTGCTTAACTGCCCAATGTGGGAGACTGATCAGAAACAAGGTGAGGGAAGGTGGCTTAAGGAACCCTGTAAGTCTCTGGCTTCAGCTGAGGAGCTAGTGAGACAGATGGGAAGCAGGGTCCTCTCTTTAGAGGGAATGGTGAGTTGTATTATGCTTCATCTGAGAGTCACCTCTTGGGGATGCTGGATGAACAAGGACTGAGATAGCAACACATCTTCTCCATGAGAAAATCAAGGCCTCTGCTGAGTAAAAGCATCAACCTCCAACATCCCTTCAGTTCACAAAACTACAATACAGCCACACAGTCAAAGCCTAGTCCCTCCCCATTCCAGATATAAGAAAACAGAGGCTTTGGGCTGTGGTGGCGCATGCCTTTAATCCCAGCACTCAGGAGACAGAGGCAGGTGGATCTCTGTGAGTTCAAGGCCAGCTTGGTCTACAAGAGCTAGTTCCAGAACAGGCTCCAAAGCTACATAGAAACTGTCTCGGAAAGAAAAAAAAAAGAAAAGAAAACAGAGGCATAGTGAGACCCTGATCTCCCAACTACCCAGAGAACTGGAATACAAGACTGACAGAAGCATTTCGGAAAGTCTTTTAATAGGAACAGACTCGAAGGCCCCACTCCCACCCCAAATTCCAGCTCCCAAGTCCTTTCAGCCCTTTTCCACAGTGTTTCCTCTTACTCTTTACACCCAGGACCAGCCCACCAGGTTGTCAGCAGCAGCCAACCCTTCTTCTGAATTGCCCAGAACTAAGCAGGAAGCTGTTTACTTCACAGTGGAGGAAAACAGAGAAATCTGAAACTTGTCTGTAGACACGGGAGACACAGGCTCTAAGCCTAAAGCTTAAGGGAATACCGGGTGATTGCTTGCTTGCTTGCAGTGTGTGCTCTCAGATGCTTCCAGAAGAGTCTAGTGGCTAAGGAAAGTCCACTCTGGGGTGAGATGGTGAGTGAGCAGAACGTAGAGTTCATCTCTATGGGCAGGCTCATCCTAGAGATTTATTTATGGACACCCAACTGTGGTTTAGGTACTCTCTGGTTTTAAGGGAGAAGGCATCCCAGCATCCCTTTAGAGATGACCTGTGGGCATCTTCTGCCTAGGGAGGGTAGGCAACCCAGTTGAGGTAGGTAAGAGATTTCATATTAGTCCACCTTAGGGCAACTCCTGCATGGTCCAGAGGCTGTTCAGGATTGGACCAGGGTGGTGGTTGTGGATTATTAAGTCTTGCTTTGCAGCCTGGGCTGGTCTAGACCTCACAATCCTCCTGCCTCAGCCTCTAGAATACTGGACTTAGAAGAATGGGCCATGCTCAGTTCTCTGTGTTTTTACATTCAGCTGGGCATCTACAGAACTGCAGGTACCTCTTTCCTGAGTCTCAAGTGTAGCGTGGGTTTCTGGGAGGCCAGAACCTGGTTCCTTCTCAGCTCTCCAATCTCAGCTGCTCATTATTTCTCCTTGGCTTTTGCTTCTATTTGTCCACCCACTTCCCCTATAATAGGCTTCCTACTCCCCAGCCTACTGGTCAACCTCCACTTTCACCTCCACAGGCTCTCTGCACCCTTCTTCAGTAGTGTTCTCTGTCCCGTGCTTATTCCCTGAATCCTGGACCACCCAAGATGGTCCCAGTTGACCTCCAGACTCTCCCACCCCAGGCCCTGGCCCGTGGAAGTGGGTGCGTTGGTGTTTGCGAAAATTTGAGGAGTTATTGAAAGTGCGCGCACAGAGCGTGCAGCGGAAAGGGCGCTCGCCAGTGTGGATGCGGGCGTGGCCGCTCAGCACAGAGGACTGTGTGAAGCCCTTGCCACAGACAGCGCAGTGGTAGGGCCTCTCCCCCGTGTGCACACGCTCATGATCTCGCATGTCTGAGGAGCGGCGGAAGGGCTTGGTACAGAACCTGCAAGCGAAAGGTTTGCCTACTGCAGCCCCTGCAGCTGCCGCAGCCTTCACCACCTCCGACCTCTCCTGGGCCATCCCTGGGTTCGGCTGTCCAGTTGATGCTGCCGGTGGAAGCCTTCGAGAGGTGCCTGCTTCCACCCCGTGACGGTGCTGGTGCCGCAGCAGAGGTGCCAAGGTCTTAAAAGCTCGTGGGCAGCGGTAAGGCCGCTCTCCCGTATGCAAGCTGTAGTGGGCACGCAGGCTAGCAGGACCTGGACAGCGGTGGCCACACACGTGACAACGGCTTGGGTCCCCACCCTGTCCAACCCCTTCCACGCCTGCCAGGTGGCCGTGTTCGTGAAACAGCAGCTCTGAGACCAGATGGAAGGCAGCGGGACACAGGGCACAGTGAAAAGATCCGGGCTCTGGGGGCTCAGGTACCAATGTAGTATCTGTAACTTTTACCACCTGGATCTCGATGAGGTCACTTGGGGGTGTGGCAGAGCGGCCACCATCAGGCACCAGGACCTGGAGAGCAGAAGAAGAAACGGGAGGCTGTGGATCCTTCTCAGAGAACATTCTTCAATGTGCTTCCACTTAAACCACTTGCTCAGGCCGGCGAAATGGCTCAGCGCGTAGACACTTGCCAAATCTAACAAACTGAGTAGGATCCCTGGAACCCGCAGGGTAGAAATCAGAACTGACTCTCCTAAATTGCCCTTTGACCTCCACATGCCTGTGCCATGGCACACATGCACACCCTTTCCTCAAATATATAAATTAAATTAAAACTTTTAAATAAAATATTTGCTCCTCTGTAGTCCACTGGATCCTTATTTTTTATGACTTATTATTTACTTATTTTGAGGCAGGAGTTTCACTATTAGCCTTAGCCGAACGGGGACTTGTTGTGTACACCAGGCTGGTCTAGAACTCAGAGACACTGCCTGCCTCTGTCTTCCCAAGTGCTGAGATTAAAGGCGTGTACCACCAGGCCTGAGTTTTTCTTTTTATGTGTATGTGTGAGTGCCTTCATGTGTGTATGTTCATCACATGTGTGCTGTGCCTGTGGAGTCCAGAGTGAGGGTCAGATCCCCCAGAAGTGGAGTTACAGATGGTCATGAGCCTCCAAATGGATGCTGGGAAGTGAACCTCTAAAAGAGCAGCCAGTGCTCTTCACTGCTGAGCCATCTCTCCAGCCCCGGCTATTGGTTTCTCGACCCTGTTATCCATGATCCAGAATTCTTGCTGTATTCGGTTGGCATTTCCTTTTCCTGCCAAAATATACCACAAATACAGACGTGCCTCTCCTCTATACTAATTAAAAGCCTCATCATTTCTTGCCCTTGCAACTGAAAAAAAAATACCACTCAAAGGGAATCCCCGTTCCTATTACTGCTCATTACCTCCCTCTCTAGAGCACCTGAACAGACTTTGGAAAATGTAAGCCCTCCAACTGCATTAAAAGCCCCGTGTCGTCCCTATAATGTCCAGCACGGTCTGGATCCTGCTTATCTCCCTGACTGCAGTGTAAATATAACCCGTCATCCAGCTGACTTCTGCCATCTAAATTTAGCTCGCCCCGTGCCCCACCCTATCAGTTTACTTTTTATTCCCCTTATGGAACATATCACAATAAATTCTGTTCATTGCCACTCCTCACGAGTCCTCACGAGACTGCGAGCTGCAAGAGGACGCAATCTCTGTCCGTTTTGGTCCCCTGGAACTCGGTCAATATTGGTTGAACGAATCAATATTCTGAGTTACTCTTCAGTCACGAGTGAGAGGTTCCAAAGTCACCCGGAACACCCATTTCTCCTCCAGAATCTTCCCTTAGGCACTCGTAAGGCAGACCTTTTATTATCACACGGCATCCCAACACGGTGCCCGGATTATAACGCCCCTTTGAGGTCACCTTCCCATCCAACCACTATAATTTCCCTGAGGGTCCGCTCCTCTTAAGACTCCACCCCTCGCTGTGCAAACCAACTCCCTAGTCCTCTCTCAGGCCCTAACCCTGCCAACGCGCAACCTGTCTTCAGGCCCCGCCTCAACCAGGCCTCGCTCCTCATCCCCCATAGGCTTCTCCCCAAGCCCCGCCCCCAGAATGTTACCATACTCCGCCCAGTCCTCTTAGGCCCCGCCCCCTGTCCTGCGCCCTCTTTCGCCGTGAACTCCCGGCCCAGACCCCTTCGTCTCCCGCACCAGGTCCGACGGCTCCGGGGATGGCGACTCCCGGGTCGGTGAGCTCGGAATCGGGGGGTCCGGGTGCGCGGCGGCCATCTTGTAGCTAAACCCTGTCCCCGAGGCCAATGATCGCTCCGCGTGGGGCGGGGCCGGGCTGGCGGCGCTGCGCAAGCGCACGGCAGGGCGGCGAAGGGCGGGGCCGTAGTCTTCATTACCTGTCAATCCTCCACGAGGACAGACTGAACTTGTAGCTGGGAGGTCGACCAGATCCTGGAGACGAATTCCGACGTCGTCCCCCTCCCTTTTAAAAATGATTGTTTGTGCAGGTTCTCACTGTCTAGCCCGTTCTGCCCTCGAACTCTCTATGTAGACCAATCTGGCCTCGAACTCAGAGATCCGCTCGCCTCTGAGCCACTATGCTCGGCCCTACCAGTCCCTTTTTAAAACTAACTCCGGTCAGGCACGAAGTTTGCTTATCTGAACCTCAAGGCACGGAAGCAGCTTTGATTTATGCTTCAGAAAACGTTTCTAAGGTTAGCTTCAATTCATGTGCAGGAGACAAAGCGGTGCAGTTTATGGACGAAGGTTTTGCAAAAGTCTAGGTCAAAGACTTAGCAGCAGTTCAGGAACTTCCAGAAGGAAGAAAAGCCCCGGGCGCTGCTGTGATGAGAAGAAAAGAGGTCAAAAGGTTTTCAGCAACACCAAGGACAGGGCTTTTCTGAGGGTTCAATTCAGTCTGGGGCTTGGCTTTCTCACTTTGGATAAGTCAGGACATTTTTGTGGCCAACTCCCTACTCCTTGTTTCCCTCCTATTGACCAGACCACCTTGAGAGCTGACCTCAGATTCACTACGCAGTCTAAGCTGGCCTTGAACTCTATTTTTAAAGATTAAATTTAAAAAAAAAAAACCTAGGTATTGGGTGCTCTGCCTGCATGTATGTCTGGGTACCACATGTTAGCAGTGTCCATGGAGGCCGGAGAGGGTGTTGTAGCCTCTTGAAGTTACAGATGGTTGCTAGCTGTCCTGTGGCTGTTGGGAACTGAACTTGGGCAACTAATGCTTGGCTGCTGTTATCTCTCCAGCCCTAGCCTTGAACCCTTAATCTTTCTTCCCACGCCCACCTCCAGTCTTCTGTTTTCTGTAGAGACCTCTAGAAGTGGAAACAGAAGAGAAGTGGGATCAGTGCACCACCACTACTTTAAGAACATTTTTAAGTAGTTGGGGATGGAGAGATGGCTCAGTGGATGAGTGCTTCCTGCTGCTGTAGAGGACCCAGGCTCAGTTCCCAGCATCCACACTGGGTAGCTCACAACCACCTGCAGCTCCAGCTCCAAGGAGGGAAATCAGATGTCCTCGGCTAGTGCTCCAGGTACAGCACACACGAGCAGCAGCAGCAGCAGCACACAGACCCAATTAAAATAAAGCAGAGCATAGCAGTGCATGCCTTCAATTCCATCACAGGAGGCAGAAGCAGGTGTAATCTCTTTGAGTTCCAGGCGCAGTGAGACCCCATCTTAAAAAATAAACCAGAGCCGGGCGGTGGTGGCGCACGCCTTTGATCCTACACTCGGGGAGGGGGCAGAGGCAGGCGGATCGCTGTGAGTTTGAGGCCAGCCTGGTCTACAAGAGCTAGTTCCAGGACAGGAACCAAAAGCTACGGAGAAACCCTGTCTTGAAAAAAAAAAAAAACCAAGTAAAGAAGGTCCCTTGTGGTTTCACCTTGACACCCATCTAACACGTGGCTCTCCAGCCTTGGATTAGCCCCGAAGGTCAGGAATTCTCCACCTCCGGTCCTTTTTCCACAACACAGGTAACTGTTCACTGAGGAAGCAGTCTCATTTCTAAATGAAGACATTTAAAAAAAATAACATTTGTTTTTGTTTGTATGTGTATATGTGTGTGATTTGTGTGTTTGCATGTGCCATGGCATTCTTGTGGAAGTCAGAGGCCAACTTGCAGAAGTCAGTTCTCCTTTTCCATCATGTGGGCCTCTGGTCAAATTGAGGCTGGGGCTCAAACAGGTTGTTGGACTTGGTGGCAAGACTGTTTATCCATGAGCTGTCTCTCCAGCCCGATCCTTAAGTCTCTGAATCTGCATCTCACAATCTGTGAAAATGGTGGGAACATTTTAATGTTTTGAGCTTTGTCGCCCCCATAAGGCCTAGGAGAAAGTTCCTTTATGAGGAAGCTACATGACAATCAGCTTGGGGCTGTCCTAGTGCGCTTCCTAGGGCCGTGAGAAAGACCGCACGACCCAGAGCAGCTTAGGGAAGAACGGCTTTGTCTTACAGTCCGCCATGGAGAGAGTCACGGCAGACTCATGCAGGAACTGAGGCAAGGGCCATGGAGGAGCGCTGCCTACAGACTTGCTTCCCATTGCTTCTTCAGTTTGCTTTTTTATACATCCCAGGGCATTTTGCCCAGGTCTGGCACCACTCACAGTGGCCTGAGGCCTCCCCCCGCCGCCCCAAATGTCCCACAAACTTGCCTACTGGCCAATCTACGGGAGACTTTTTTTTTCTATTGAGGTCCCCTTTCCCAGAATACTTTAGCTTGTGAAGTTGATGAACAAACAGAAGAATAGCTGGGTAGTGGTGGCGCACACCTTTAACATCAGCCCTCGGGAGGCAGAAGTTGGCAGATCTCTGAGTTCAAGGCCAGGCTACAGAATAAGTTTCAGGATATCCAGGGCTACATAGAGAAACCCTATCTCAAAAAACCAACAATGGCAAACAGTCCCTCACCCCCACGTGGATGTGTCACACGGTTCAGAAGCGCCAGAGAGCTGACTTAGTGGCATGTTCTAGTGCTTCAGGGAAGAGCGAATACGTTGGTTGCCATTGGCGTGGAGCTGGATTAGCAGTCACGGTTCTGGGAATCCTCCCTAGGTGCCCTAGGTGTCCCATGTCGGCCTGGGAGGTAGCGAAGCCGAGGCAGCACAGCTCCATTGAATGACTGACCCCAACTGAGGGGTGTGCTGGAAGCCCGCAGGCGTCGGGAAGGAGCGGGGTGCGTGGCCTTGCAGAGGGAATTCTAATTAATCCTGTCTCTCCTTTCAATCTCTGAACTCCAAAGTTCTGCTGAGCCTGTCCCCGGCTCTGCGGAGGCCAAGGCCACCTCTTCTTCTGTCCTCCTGTGGTTTCTGTCTCCTCTGCCCTCCTCATCACTGATGGGAGTGGTATCGCCTACGTGGATATAGTGGAGGAGCCTCTTAGTCCTCTGGTCCCTGGGCCTGAGCTGGTGAGGATGTCCTTTGTCCAGGGGCTATGAGGACCCTCAAGAGTTGCCCGTGCCCGAGACCTACAGAGCAGGACACTGGAGCCCAGGGGCCAACGTGGGT